GGTTCTTTTCAGGGTTTTTTGGTTTTGGTTTTGATGGAACTGAGGTTTTGAACTCAGGGCTTTGTGCTTGCAAAGTAAGCACAGTGCCATTTGAGCCATAACTCCAGTACATTGTGCTCTAGTTATTTTTGGAGATAGGGGTCTTTCCAACTATTTGCTTGGGTTTACCTCGAACCACAATTCTCCTAATGGCAGCCTCCCAAGTAGCTAGGATTACAGGTGTGAGTCATTGTCCCCTGGCTTCCAACTATTATATTTAGGCCACAGATCCATTATATTCCAATTGTCCCAGAACAATCTCTTGAAAAGATTATTCTTTCCCCACTGAATAGTCTTGGCATTCTTGTCAAAAATCAGTTGCATATACATGTATGCTTATTTCTGTACTCTCAATATTATTCTACTGGTCTTTATGTCTCATACTTATGACAGTATCACACTGTCTTTGTAGTAATTACTGTATCTTTGCAGTAATTTTTTTTTCTGGCACTACTGGAGTTTGAACTCAGAGCTCATACTTGTTAAGTAGGCACTCTACCACTTGAACCACTCTGCCAGCTCTGTAGTGAGTTTTAAAATTGGGGAATATGAATTCTCCAGCTGTGTTCTTTTTCAAGATTGTTTTAGCTATTTGAGCCTGTTCCAATTCCATATGAGTTTGAAAATCAACTTTTACATTTTTCTGACTAGAAAAAAGCTACTGGAATTTTGATAAGAGATTGCACTGAATTTGCAACTTACTTTAGGTAAAACTGCCATCTTAACAATATTAAGACTTCTAATCCATGAACACAGTACATTTTTCCATTTACCTATGTCTTCTTTAATTTCTTTCGTAATGTTTTGTAGTTTTCATTGTACAATTTTCCCATAAAGGCTTACTCCTTTATGCTTCGGGGTATTATGTAAAAGGAATTTTTAAGTTTTCTTTTTGGGATTGTTCGTTGCTGATACGTAAAAACACATAGTTATGTTTATCTTGTACCTACATGCATGCTAAAATTGTTTATTAGTTTTGATGGAGTTCTGTGTGGGTGGGTGTGTGCATTGTGATTTTATGTATGTAGGATCACTGTCATCTGTAAATAGTTTTACTTCTTTCAAATTTGTCTTTATTTCTTTTTTTGTGTGTAACTGCTCTAACTGTAATTTCCATTACAACTTGGTAATAGTGGTGGAAATGAGACAAGGAATTGTCTAATTCCTGATCATAAGAGGAAAGGTTTCAGTTTTTTACCACTGAGTTGTATATCAGCTTTGGGTGTTTCAAAAATGCTTAATGATGAGGACATGATGAGACATTCCCTGCTATTCCTATTTTTGAGTGCTTCTATCATGAACAGCTGTTGGAGTTTGTCAAATGCTTTCTGTATCGATTGAAACAATCATGAGTGTTTTCCCCTTTCATTCTATTTGTATAATATACTGCATTAACTGATTTCCTTACGCTGAACCACCTTTGCATTCCTGAGATAAATTCCACATGGTCAGCGTACATATACATTCCTTTAAATATGCTGTTGGATTCAGTTTGCTAGGATTTTACTGAGAATTTTTGTTCTGGAGTGTTCTCTGGTGTCTTTTGTTTGGCTTTGGTATCAATGTAATACTGGTCTCAAAGAATGAATGAGAACAGATTCTTGCCTTCTTTTTGTATTTTGGAAGAGTTTGGGAAGAACAGTGTAAATTCTTTAAATATTTGGGATTCCTGGGTTCAAGCCCCAGCATTGGGAAAAAAAAAAAAAAATGGGGCGAACTCACCAGAAAAGCCATCTGGTCCTGGACATTTCTTTGTTTGGTAAACTGTGTGTGTTTTTGTATGTGTTTAGGGGAGAGGGGAGGTTGGCATTATTTTGCTTTTTTGTGTTTTTCTTAATAAATTCAATCTGTTTACTTGCTAAAGATTTGTTCAGAGCTTCTATTTCTTTTTGAGCCAGTTTTAGTAGTGTGTGTCTCCAGAAATTTTTCCATTTCGTGTCATATAATTTGTTGGTATACAATTACTTATAGTATTCTCCTTAATCCTTTATATTTTTGTTTCTTGAAACAGAGTTTTGCTATGTAGCCCAGGATGGCCTTAAACTCCTAATACTTCTGCCTTCCAAGTGCTGGAATAAGAGGCTGTGCCACCACACCCAGTTCTTTATATTTCTTTAAGATCAGTAATAATGCTCCAACATTCATTTCTGGATTTAGTTATGTGCATTTTTGCCTTTTCTTTGTCAGTCTAAAGGAATGATTTTGTTATCTTTTCAAAGAACCAACTTTTGATTTCACTGATTCTCTATATTGTTTTCCTATTCTCTATTTTATCTCCACTATAATCTCTATAATTTCCTTTATTCTACTTTATTCTTCTTATGCTAGTTTCTTTAAGGTATAAAGTAGGTTATTTAGGGGCTAGAAGACTGGCTCAAGTGGTAGAGCCCCTGCCTCAAAAGCATGAGACCGTAAGTTCAAACCCCCAATAGTGCCAAAAATAAATAAATAAGATACTTTGTATGATTTCTCTAAATTTATTAAAGCTTGTTTCATTATCTATCATATAGTAGAAAATGTTTCACATGTGCTTGAGAAAAAAGTATGCTTTGTTGTTGCCAGGTGTTCTGTGTGTCTCTTAGGTCTAGTTGGTTTATCTGCTGTTCAAGTCTTCTATTTCCTTACTGATCTTCTGTCTGGAAGTTCTACCCAGTATTGAAGGTAAGGCAAACATTTTAATTTTTATTGGATGACAATAACTGAGTTATAACATTGTTGGATTCTGAATTGTGTTATATTCCTCTAAATAGTGTTTCAGCACAGTTATTTGGACTCACTTAGGCCTTCTGGTACTCTTCCCAATGTCTCATGTGTTACAACTTTTTCAACTATAAGCTGTGTAAACATGGCCTATTTCCAGCTTTGTGTGAGCTCTGGAAATTGTTTTTCTTACCGCTTTCCAGTAAATGTTTTTCTCTGGCTCTGGTTAGGTCCTGATAAGCATCCATAAATCAGAACTCAGCCAAGACTCAAGACTCAAGGAGAACCTGCTGCTGATCTCCAAGTGGTTTATTTGTCTAAAAACTCAATGATTTACCCGAATGTCTGCCCTTCATCCTCCTTTCCTATCAGCCTCCAGAGTCAGGCAGCAATGACATTACTGTAAAATGCTAAACATTTGGCCTTCACTAATTCAGTAAGTCCTCACAACAAGCTTATGAGATAAGCATCATTATTTTTTAAACTCTAGGTCATTTGTTTCTTTTGGGGGAGTAGTCGGGATGGGACTGGGGTTTGAACTCAGGGCTTCACAGTTACAAAGCAGGAGCTCTACAACTTGAGCCACACATCTAAGTCCATTTACACTGGCTATTTTGGTGGTGGGGGAGGTGTCTCACAAACTATTTGGCCTTGGGCTGGCTTCAAACCTCGATCCTCCTGGTCTTAGCCTTTCAAGTAGCTAGGATTATAGGTGTGAACCACCGAAGCCTGGCTAGTCATTTGTTTCTTGATAATCACACCCTGGCTTATAATATATTCAATAATAACTTTATTCTCTTTATAATACCTGGCTCCACTTTTCCTTTGCACTGAGATTCTGTTTTCTCCTAACTGACTTTGGTCAAGCCTTAACACTTAACTTCCATACTTCCAACATCTATGACTAAACCCTATTAAAAGGAACAGAGTACTTAGATCCCTATAAATTTCTTGTTTCTAGGTTTTCCCAATACTACAACTCACTTAATATTGACTTCTTCAATTTCTTAGGAAACCCTGATCAGTCAAGAATGCCTCACCAGCTAATCTAAAAGAAATGGCCCAAATGCAGTCACACATTTAAAAATATTATTTTAATCACATGTATGTTCTTAACTTACATTGCTGCAGCTTAGTATTAAACTGAGCTTCATTTCTCTAAGGACTTATAATTAATCACCAGGATGAAAGGCCCTACCTACTATGGTACTCTGGGAATTAGTAGGTCACCATTCATTATTTGTTGAATGAAAAAAAAAAATTATAGGCACTAGCTCAGAAAAGTCTAAGGTTATAACCAAACAAAGCCATTTGCAAATAAAAAGGAAAAGATGACAATGGACACATACAAGCAATTCACAAAAGGTAAAACACAGAAAGAAAAACAAATATAAGTAAATCATAGAAATGCAAACTAAAATACCACTTTTTGTCAGACAGATTTACAGAGATTAAAAATTTGTCAGAGAAGTAAAGAAATCACATTCCCATATACTATAAGCAGATATGATTTTTTTATTTATGCATCAATTTTGGCCAGTGTTTCATTTCTAAAAATTAGCTATAATAATGGGAAAAATAAATCTCTCTTAAAAATGTCGCTATGGAAATGACCCAAACAATGTATGCACATGTGAATAAATGAATACTAATAATAAAAAAAAACAGTTTTCACTATGGTACTACCTACCATATAAAAATCTGTCCAACAATAAGGGCTTGGCTAAATAAACTCGTTCTTCCAAACTAAAGATAATTATTAAACCACTTCGGAATTTTATATATTGTATTATCCAGTTTTCTAAAATAACATAAATTCACATAAAAACATACCTGCAAAGGAAAAAAAATCTAGAAGTACACACCCCAAAATGTTAGCAGTGATTCTCTCTGTTAAAAAACAGTGGAAATTTTTTTGTGATTTTTTTTTTTTTTCTCTTTTGCTAATCCACACAAAGTAAGTATGGGTTACATGGATAACAGTACACATTTTTTAAAGGTAAAAGTAAAAGTGAAGACCACAATTTAAAGGTAGAAAAATGCTATTATCATAACAGAACATAAAACATTTTCTAAATTCCATAATAATAATAAAGTCAGGCAGAGTTAATATATAAATATCAAATCATGGTGTAATCCAGCATCTTAGTATAACCTAGTTTTAATTAGTTTTAGGAACACATATAGAAGAATCTGTTAGAATAAAAAAGTTTAGTTATTTGGACATTTTGGGAAACAAAACTTGCCACATAAAAACTTACAACTAATCCTAGAGACAGTATTGAAAGTCAATAGTAAAGATGTCAATTGCTTCAAGTTGAAGATCAGCTCAAATTTCCTTTTCATCCCCTTTCACTTTTATCTTGCAAACCCTCACTCTCATAAGTGGTCACTATGAAAATAATCAAAGATAAACAAAACATTTTAAGTTTAAGAATTCAAATTTAGCCAGGCACCAGTGGCTCATGCCTGTCTGTAATCCTAGCTACTAAGGAGGCAGAGATCAAGAGGATCACAGTTTGAAGCCAGCCTGGACAAATAGTTTGAGAGACCCTATCTAAAAACTACCCAACACAAAACATGGGTGGCAGAGTAGCTCAAGTAGTAGAGCACCTGCCTAGCAGGCATGAGGCTATGTTCAAGTCCCAGTATCACCAAAAAAAAAAAAAAAAAAAAAAAAAACTAAAGAATTCAAATTTACATTTGGCTAAAAACAAAGTTTTTATAACATCTATAATTCCCAATTATGTTAACTTTTCCCCTCAGACTTGAACTTTCTTTTTTTTTTTCAACGAGGTCTCACTAACCTTGACCTCTAACTCATGCTCCTCCTGCTTCTGCCTACTAAGTGCTGGAATTACAGACTTGTGTCATCATGCCCAGCTTAAGACTTGAACATTTTGATGGGTTGAAGTTAGTTAGTAAAAATAAGGGGTCTTTAGTTGATCCTAGGACTACATGTCTTTTTACAGGTTAATTATGTATCTCTCCAGGCGATGTCTAGACAAAGCCCAGGGAACTGCTTGTGGTCATACAGACCAATTCCTAAGAATTGTATACAATGCCTAATTCAATATGACCTGCAATGTACACCAAGTTAGTAAGTCCTCATTAGTACTAATCCATACACTAATGTTCAATGAAGTTGGCTAGTATAAAATGATTTGTACCTGTCTACAGAACAGGAAACAAATTATTCTAATTGCAACCATACAATTAATGGCAGGTATCCACAGAACATCATTTAGTGGCAACTTCACACCTACAACACAGTTTGCAAGACAAGACTCAAAGCACCACTGATGCTTCCAGTGGGATTTGATAGCAGATTCAAGGGTACACAAAACACTAAGCAGAGTACACACTAAGATTCTTTTAAGCCTCTATTAGAAATGTCTTTGATGAAAGCAATTTTTTACAGGAAATTTTTCTATGATAGGAGAAAATGAGAAAATGACCTGTATAAAAGAGATTTTTATGTTAATGGCACTGATCTCTTTGCTTTAGTAATAATCCTAACACCATTCATCCACTTATCTAACAAATATAAAAACTATTTGCATGATTTACTAGAAGAGCTGGGAATACAGGAGTAAACAAAACCACTGTCTTCATGAAGCTTACATCTAGCAAGGGAGACAAATGTCAAACAAATAAAGTCATCTCTCAGCATCTGTGGGGAATTGGTTCTAGGACACCCCTCAAATACCAAAATCTGTAGGCATTCAAGTACCTTATATAAAATGCAGTATATCTATAGGTTTAAACAAATCCTTCTGTATACTTTAAATCATTTACAAATTATTTATAATATATAATACAATGTAAATAATGTGTATGTGGTTGTTAAATTTTTTAAAGTATAATGACAAGAAAAAATATTGGCAAATGCAGTTCTTTCCAAATATTTTCAACTATAGTTGGTTGAATCTATTGAAGGATACACTGTCCACAGATATGAAATGACAACTGTAATTTCATATTCAACTATAACTGCAAATGTCATGAGACTATGACAGCATATACTAGATCCAGAGTCAAGTAAGCCAAGTACAGGGAGGGGAAGAAAGATCCAGGTAGCTGGCAAAGGCCTCAAAGTTGGAATGGCCTTGCCTAACCTAAGAACTAAACTAGTCCAGTTATATTGAAGCATTTGCATTATTTCTCTAGCACACATCAAGCCTGAGATTTACAAAGACATTCAGGTTAAGAGATCAAGCTGATTAAATGCAACAGGAGTCTGGAGCTCAGAAAAGAGGCCTAGGCAGATATAAAAACTTAGATGTTGCTGGCTTGGAGAAGGTATTCAATGAACAGGAACCAGAGATTACTTAGGCAAAGTGACTGAGACTGTGCATGAAGGGGAGAGAAAGGATTATTTTTCTCAAATCACAAAAAACAAATTTAATTACTTTTCTTTTGACTTGCAAACAAAAGAAATAAGACGAAGTATTCTGTGATATTATAGCTACAATACAATGTTGTTTGTTCAAAAAAGGTAAAATTAAATGTACACAGTTCTTGGAGAAATCCCAAGACCTAAGAAAAATACTTCTTTCAGTGAGTCTATTATATGCTGTAGTCTATTTAACAGAGTACTTCCTTCTAGCCTTTTTCAATGCCCTAGGAAAAAGCACCTTTTTTTAACACACTAATACTATTTACAAGATCTGTCACTAGAAATGTTTTCAGTCTGCAGAACTGCCAGCTACTGATGCTACAATAAGCATCCTCAACATCCTGAAAGGGATGTGAAGAACAGACAACCTTTTGCTCCATACACTCAGAAGTTATCAACTTTCAGGACTGTAACATTTTCCTTAACCCCTGTCCAGACTCCAGTGATGATTTCATAGCATGCAATTGCTCTATAAAGCAGTGGTCAGGTTATGGGTCCAGAAGAACTGAATTAAAATATTTCACAACTTATGGCCAAAGCACCACATAAAGCACCATGTACATATGACATGCCTTCACAAAAACTCACCTGATTTATTTGAAGCATGTTAAGACAATATTGATCAAACTGCTGTATTCCTCAGGGCTCCAAAAACTGGAAAATGAAAATGAAGAAATAAAGTTCAACTTGAGTGGTAACCTCAATGACGAGCTAATATTTTACACACATACCCTTGATCAAAATCAAATATAAAATGGAGTTAATCTAGATCAGCACAGACCTTTTTATGATCAAAATGCTCTACACTTTACTGTCCAATTCAATAGCCACTAGCCATAGGTGGCTACAGAGCACCTGAAACGTGGCTAGTGCAACCAACTAAGTAAATAATTAAATTTCCTGAATGTTAATTTAAATCTAAGTAAACACTTAACTTTGCTTGTTTATTAATTTAAGTAAACATGTGACTAGTGGCTACCATACCAACTGTACAAATCTAGATTGTTGAATAAAGTACCCTCTGGTTCTAGAGTTCTAAAACAATCCCAGCAAAAGGGAAGGTATTAACAACTCAAAGTTTCAGATCAATATTTAATGCACACTCCCCTTGCTCCAGTCAGGTTTTAAGCAGCTTTATTCCCATCCTCTGTATACTTTATAAGTTAATCCTAAAGAAGATGAAACACACACTAGTAGTCGCTTATGTACTGCAAAAAAGAATACATACACAGTGCAATCACTTAGCTGAATATTTTCATTTTCTGTTTTTTTCTGTTATCAATATAAAAATAGTATGCACATAAGTTTTTCTTTAAATAAGTTACACTCATTACACATCCCACTGCTGAATTTAGGTTTACTGCCTTCTAGACCTTACCCCCTTCCCTTTGTTGCAGATCTTTTCCATATTTAATTTAGAAACAGATGACAAAGAAAGGAAACCCCAAATTTATACACAAATAAATCATGAGAAAGGTTCACATAAAACATAAATTGTGTAAGGTGCCTCCCCCAAAAAATTATCAACCAAGCCACAACACAGCAAAAGGGCTAAAGCCCATTATGTGTGTAGAAATGTTATGCTACAAAATTTTAATACTGAACTTCTCAGAAGCAAAGTACACATACACACAAGCAGAATCACACCCATGAATGTGGCTACCATTTTCTCAAGAGGACAAACTGGAGTCAATTCAAAATGACTTTGAAAACTTTTCATATTTCTTACAACAGTGTCTTCAACATCCGTATTAATTTTTCTGTTCTAATTTGTTTTCACATTTTCTAAGGGAACAGGATCCTGTAGAAAGAACACATGGCTTGGGTACTGGTGAATTTCAGTTTTATAACAAATTCTTTAGGCCATCACCTTCTGAACATCAGTTTGAATTATTTCGTGTATTTTTTTTTTTTTTTTTTTGGTGTACTGGGGCTTGAACCCAGGGTCTACACCTTCAGCCACTCCACCAATCCTTTTTTGTGATGGGTTATTTTCAAGATAGGGTCTCCCAAACTATTTGCCCCAGGCTGGCTTCAAACCGTAATCCTCTGATCTCTGCCTCCTGAATAGCTAAAATTACAAGTGGGACCCACCAGCGCCAAACTATTTTGTGTATCTTTGAGTTTTGGGGGCATTTTTTTGGGGGGTGGTAAACCTTTGCAATTTTTTTTTTTTTTTTGGTGGAACTGGGGTTTAAACTCAGGGCCTTGTGTTTGCTAGGCAGGCACTCTACCACTTGAGCCACTCCAGTAGCCCAAATCTTTCAAAAGTAAACTAAAATCCTTATAGTAGGCAGCCTCTAACAAACAGGATACCAGAAATAATGAGATACCACTTCCAAGATTAGGTTATAAAAAGTTTTAAGATGTCATCTTCTCTTAATCAATGGCTCATTAGCTCTGAGGGAAGCCAGATGCCATACTTTGAGCTTATCTTTGGAAAGGCATACAAGGCAAAGAACTGAAAGAAGCCTCCAGCTAACAGCCAACAAAAACAAGACCTTCAGTCCAACAGCCCCAAGGAGCTGAATCCCAACAACAGTCACATGAACAAGTGTAGAAATAGGTCTTCCACCAGTCAAGCTGTCACATGCAACTGCAACCCCAACTAAAAGCCTGAATGTAACCTCGTGAGTGACCTTAGGCCATAGGCACTAATTAGCACCCAGATTTCTAACCCACAGAAACTGTGAGATAAGGTGTGAAGGTGTGACTAAGGGGCAGAGTGCCTAACAAGCACAAGGCCTTGAGTTCAATCTCCAGTACCACCACAAAGAGAAAAAAAGAAAAGACAAACTGTGTAGTAATAAATTTTTGTTTGTTGTTCTAAGTCTTTAAGTCCTGAGGTCAATAAATAACGTAATCGGCAGCTCAACTCAAATTCAAAGCTCCTATGGTAAAATTTATTTTACTTCGCCTAAAATAAATTTCATTCACCATAAACAAATGAGTAACATTAGAAATTAAATGTGATAAGTTATAAAACTTAAACATTGACATTTTAAATTCAAAAGTTGAGGTCATTAAAACCATAGCATTAGTCAAATGTTAAAATACACATTGTAATTAAAAATGTAAACTCAAGCAATTTTCTCTTTTTTAAATTGAAAACAACTCATTTGTAAAGTAAACTATAAATAAACCACTAAAAGCATCTTGGTGAGTTAAGTATCCTTTACTTGCTACAATTTAGCATTATTCATTAGGTACTCACCAACTCTGAGAACTATTAAAAACATTAAAAATACTTATCTACAGATCAGTATGTATTCCTTCAATATTAAGAGTTCAGTAACACAGGTGACTGACTGATTTCAAGGTAAGCACAGTAAGATATTGCAGTACGTGTTTTTTGTTTTAAAGTTCTAATCTTCTGATATGCAAAGGTACTTTATGAAGCACCAAGAAATTAGAACACTTAGTCACTTAAAATTGTACAATGTGAAATATTCTCTTTCCTTCAAAATTATAAAGAACTGTATAAATGAAAACTTATGAAACTAGTATGTCTAAAAGCATCACTGTGTGAGGTAACTGGACAGCACTCTAATAAAAAAAATCTCTTTCATCAAACGAGTTGTTTGATTTACATCAACATAAAATCATAACTGAAAACCATACCATGGGCAATTCAGAATGCCCACAGTGGCACATGTCTTTAAGATTTCACTTGTTCTTTAAAGACATGCCCAGTCTACAGTTCTATATTTTAAACAATTTGATAAAATATCAAGACATATCAAGTAAATGCAGAGCAGTTATACATTATCTGTGATTTCATAAAATCTATCTCCCTCTCCTCTATCAAAAGAATTTCCAGCTGTAGTTCAATCCAATTACAACTAAGTCCTTTTAGAGAAACCTATTCACGTGTCTCAAAAATGCCCTACAGTGATATCCAGTCACATTAGGACATGCAGTTCCAGATTCCAAGCTACCAAAAGAAAACAGGCGGGGTAGCTGATGGTGACAACACTACAAACTGAGGAAGACTTGCTGCTCATGAACCACTGAAGTTCCAACCTGTATCTGCTAACATAACTTACCACTTTTATTGTGAATTACATGCCCACCTAATAAAAGCTGTAAAAGTAAAATCTATACAATCCTCAATAAATACTGCCCTATAAAATAACATCATTATTAAATTAATACCTATAAACTTTTTAATATCAGCACCCATCCCACAATTAGTAGGCAATTCTCACCTAAATGTCTTATTTGACAATACAAAAGGTAAAAGCATTTGCTATCCCCAATCTTAAGAGTACAAACTACACAAAACTGAGTATTGATTCAGAGCTTCTTACTCTAAAAAATTCATGGGGTCCTTTAAAAAGTTTTTTTCATGCTTTTAATTTTAATTTTTAAAGTACTTACTCCCAAAAAAACTGCTTCTAAGAAAGTAACAGTATCAGATTTTAATCTCTTTTAAAAGCCTACGAAAGGTTCTAAGTATGTATGCCAGTGAAAATTATGACATACTATCAGCCAAAATAAAAGGGAAAATAACTTTTCTTTTTTGGGGGGGGAAGGGAGGGTTGAGGTGGCGGCAGTACTGGGGCTTGAACTCAGGGCCTCACTCTAAAAGTGGTGAGTGCTCAAGCACTTGAGCCATTCCTCCAATCCCCGAGGGAAAGTAACATTTATCAGACACCAATTTTATATGCCAGGTGCAATATTTTGCTATTTTTACATTTGCTCATTTAATCCTCATCACCTTAAGATGTAGGTCTTATCCTTTGTTCTAGTGTTTAGGCTATTTGCCTACAATCAAGCTGCTAGAACTAAAGCCCAGTTCAGACAAGTTCAATGTCCTCTTCTCTTTAATACAGACTAAATTATAAAGGACCTGCCTTTTTAAAATTTTTACTGTACCAAGGCAAGGGCTTAAACTCTAGGACAACATAATGGCAAGGCAGGTATACTGAACTTTTGGAAGTTATTCAAAATCAGTAATACATGCATAAATAAAACTTACAATTATTATGGGTAGCACTCATCTAACATAGTCCCTAGGAAAGGCACAAATAGATCTATATGATTAATCAAACTGCATACCTCTATGCTGTCCAGTATTAACAGATAGTTCAATTCCACAATACCTAGATGTTTTTCCCTCTATACATATAAATAATGAGAGAAAGCACTCAGAGTACAAAAAGGAAGGTGTGGTGGTGCACACAGAGGCTAAGGAAGGAGGATCTCAAAAAAGTGATAAGAACAAGAGTTGAGCTGGGATACAGCTCAGTGGCAGAGTGCTTTTCCTAGCATGCCAAAGGTCCTGGGTTCTACCTCCAGCACCACAAAGAATAAGAGTAAAGAGAAGCTGGGCAGCAGTGGATCATGCCTATAATCCCAGCTACTCAGGAGGCAGAGATCAGAAGGTTCCTGATTCAAACCCAATTCAAAGCAAACAATTCGCAAGACCCTGCAGAGTCTGGAGAGTCTGCAGAGTCTGCAGAGTCTGCAGAGTGGCTCAAGTGGTAGAAAGCCTGCCTAGCAATTGTGAGGCCTTGATTTCAAACCCTAATACCACCAAACAAAGATTAAAGACATTAGGTACAAAGAAAAAAGAAACAATATTTTGCCCCACATAAACAGGAAACCCTCTCAGCCTCACTTTATGTTTTTTTACATATTTGAAAGTTGCATTGCAGGGCAGGTAGGAAAGGGAGGGGGCGGGGGGAAGGGGGTAGAAATGACCCAAACATTGTATGCACAATGTTTATATGAATAAAAGAAAGAAAGTTACATTGCCATCTTAGATATTTTTTAATTCTTTGTTGAACAGCAGAACAAACCACTTTTTCCTACATCTTCATTCCAGGGAAGCTAAAATTGAAAACTCAACAGTTTTCCATACTCAAGTATTTTGGAGTTAAAATGCCTGTAACATACATCTCTTTACCCTTAAACAACCTAGGGAAAAAAGTATTTTTTATGTGAGGGTAAAAGGGTAAATGGGTAAAATAACAGGTGAATCTGAGTAAAGGTTACAAGGATGTTCTTTGTATTCTTATTCTTGTGACTTCTGAAACTTTTGAAATTATTTCCAAAGAACAAATTAAAAATTACATTTTTGAAATTAACAATACATTCTTTGTTTTCTACTTAAAAACAAAGTAGAAAACTCCTGAGAAGAAGCACAGGAGAAAATTCTTTGTGACACTGGGTTAGGATTAGAGAGCAACATTTTTACAAATACAAAACACGGGTTTTAAGGAAAAAAGCAGGAATGTGTGAGGAAGTACATACCACGTCCTAGGGCTCAGAAATAAATTTCATAGAGCACTGCCATGTAACGAAATGTGGCAATGTGACAAGAGCTGAAACCATAGAAGTGCACACACACAGACACACATCCACACACACTCCACTTAGTTTGGCATTACTGCTTTGAAAATGTAATACAGGACTGCTGCAAAATGCAGCAAATCCCCAATTCAAATGCTATTTGATATCTCTGGTTTGCAGTAAAATATAGACAAACTGAACAGTGAAAAACAAGCTATATTACAAAGCAATCAAGAAGCAAAGTCTTGGGGGGGGGGTTGTTGTTGGTTTTTGTTTTTGGTGGGACTGAGGATGGAACTCTGGGCTTCATGCTTGCAGAAGTCTTGGTTTTGATGGTTTTATTAAGATTTTTCCAAGACAGCTCAACTTACAACAGTATATCTGAATCATCTTAAGAAAACAAGGATGGGAAAGAAATACCCTACTTAAGAAATGTTACAATACTTTCTCCTACCAGGTATCATCCTGCCTGGCCTTCACAATTTTGATTTCAAGTGTTCAGCGTGATTTCCCAAAAACAAGAATACATCAGAATCCAAGGATGCTCAACACAAGTTCAACAAAATTGTGAAACCAAACATTAAATAATAAAGGTTTGCAGTCAGTGAGACACATTTAAATGATCATCTCTACCCCTTCTGCAGAATCCACTTACTTTTTTAAATTCTTTGGTAAATTCCCGGTCTACCCTAACTGGATGGTCCCTCTCTACCCCAGTAGTTCTTAACCTTTCTTTTTTTTTTGGGGGGGGGGAGGGAAGAGGTGGGATGGGGGACAAACATCATGGCAAATATGAGTCCCTTCCAAAGACAATTATTCACAATGTAAAATGCAAAACTGTGCATAGTTCCAGGGACTTCCAAACCCCAAGGCCATTATCCCGCCCCTCCCTAACAACCCCGGCTCTGCGGAACAGTCCCCCTCAGCGTCGTCCACTGCTTGCCGGGGGAGGGACAGGAGTCCCTGTTTTCGCCCAGCGGATTCCGTAGCCGAGCTTTGTCTCCCGCCCAGCTGCCTGTGCCCCGGCAAGGTCACCAATGCCAACTACCCCTTTAAGCCGAGCGCCACAGCTGTAGTCCTAAGGGCCAACGCAGAAGTGGCCTGTCATAGGATGCATTTCGTGCCCTCGGCCCCACCTCCATTCCGGCGAGTTACGTCTTCGCCACTTGCCCATTATACAGAAATAGCCGCCGCCGCCGGCCCGGGCGCTCCCCGCCTCCCCTCCCTCTCCGACAGAGCCCGCTCCGGCCCGCGACCCCACCTTCCCGCGCCCCCCGCCGGGGGCCCCCCACCCCGGCACCCCCTCTGCGCCGGCCTCCCCGCTTCCTCCCGGCTCCTACCTTCAGGACACCTGTGTCGTCCCACCCCCCTGCACACACGCCCCCCCCAAATTCATCCCCACCGCCCTCCCCTCCCCCTAGCCCAGGAGCCCCGGGAGGGAGGGATGGATGGCGCGGGGGAGGGGAGGCCGCGAGCGGGGCCCGCTCTTCTCGGGGTTCGCCGCGCCGCGGACCTGCAAGGCTCCCCAGCGCCCTCTGCCTCCTCCGCCAGCGGGGCGGAAGTCGGAGCCTCCCGGGCTCCCGCAACCAGGGTATTTACCTTCTTGCCAGGGACACTTTGCAGACGGATCCGACATTGGCAAACACTACAGAGAACTGACCCCGCTCGGCCGCCGCCGCCGACGCCGCCGCCGACGCCGGCTTCCACTCCTCGGCACACCGCCCCCGCCTTCGCCCGCCTCCCAGCGCTCCCGCCGCGCCCTCCCGGGCCCGCGCCGCGCGCCCCCGCCTGCGCAGCCGCGCCCGCGCCCCAGCACGCCAGACCCGCGCGCGCGCGCGTCTCCGCAGGCCCCGCCCCCGGCGCGCGACCGAGCGCCGCCATTGTTCACCGCGCTGCTCCCGCCCCCTGGCGGCTGTCCGCCACCTGGCGGCTGTCCGGCCCCGTGCTGCAGCGGAGCTGCGGTGCTGGTGCCCGCGGCCCAGAGCTCCGGGCCCGGGGCCCTCGGGAGCCCAGCGAGCGAGGGGTTGGGGGGGCGCGCCCCGCCGCGGCTTTCCGGTCCCCCGCGTGGCTGCGCGCCTTCTCGGCGGCCCCTTCCACACCTGCGCTCCGCAACTCTCCCCCACCCCGTGGGCCCCGGCTCTTTCCGCGCCCCGACCCCCTGCTCGTACCTCCCGGGCCCGCTGGCTGGCTACCCGCCTTTGCCGTGCAGGGGACGCGCGACCATCCCGCGCCGGCTCCCGCCGCGCCTGTGCGACGCCGGTTCGGCGGATCCCGCACCTTTCCAGACGCGGGGAGGGGGCGGGGGGAGGAGGCTGGTTCGCTGTCTCGTCTCGCCCGGAAAACACGCCTGGTCCCCAGTCACCTGCTCTCCGACATCCGCGGGGCGCCCCACCATTCGCCACCAAAAAATAAAAACATCTGGTGTGGTCACATGAAGAAGAAGCCCTTGCAATCCAAAATGAGGACCGTCTTAAAGCAGTGCCCTAGATTCTAGATTTTTTTTTTTAAACAAGGGTGCCAGGAAACTCACATTGCTTCTTCGTCCTGGTTTGGATGTGGGTTACTTACGTCCAGATAACCTCAACGCAGTGAAACTCAACACTTTATTTAGTAAATGGCACCAAAAATAATCGGATAATAAAAGAAGTCTAGAAATAGAACTCTCAGTGTGTTCTCACAAACTTACCCACGTGGGTTGTTACTCCCTGGGTTCCTTGCTGGTGTGGCTTATGTACCTGAGAAATGGCTACCAGGCCTGTGATTCCAGTCATCAACTAACCGAAAGTTCTCCTGTCTACAAATGGGGAAACAGTGTGGTGGGCTTGCTCTGCTATGCATTCGCTTATTCTTTTTTTATGGAAACCAAATTTAGCAATGTGTGTAAATGCAATAACACAGGTAAAGCCCCTTAAACGGAACCTGGCATATGGTGAGTCTCATGTGGTAGGTTCAGTGTTGGCTACTGCTCCATTTTCCTCCCAGAATTGTTTCCCATGGTCCTGTCCCTCCTTCTCACCTCTGCCATTTTCCTCAAACTTAACTTGTGGGGTACTCCCTAAATGGCACCACGCCTTGATTAATGACTTCTAGCACTTAGGCGACATCAAATCTCCCTTCTCTGATCCTTCCCTGTCCCCCAACTGCCTATCCTGCCTCCCCCATTGAAAAATCATCGTCCAAGCACTGACAAATCACCTCTCTGAGAGGCACTCCAGCTCCCCTGAGCAGGCCATGCTCTTCTGTGATGCACTCTTCTCTGATACCGTAGACATACTGCGCTCTTTGTTTTCTAGCTGTCTTCTCCTGGCAAACAGTGCGTTGTTGTGAGGCAGGTTCTTTGTCTCATTCTTCTCTGTAGTCCCAGCAAGTGGGTGGACTGTAAATGCTTCTGGAATAAATGGATGAGTTATGCTTCTGGAAATGACTCCGAAGTAATCAGAAATTTCATTCTCTTTGATCCAGGTCATTAAAGTTAATTGAAAACTTCCTATCTGCCATAACTTTTTCCAATAACTGATTTTAAACCCCAAATAGAATGAACTTTTTAAAAAGTGGTTATCAAAAAGGATATTATTTTTTAGCTTGAACACTCTCAACTCCTCAAGGTATAGAGGTATCAGTATATGAAATCACCTGGATGGCACGGTCATCTTAATAGCTATGTTAAAATATCTTTCATAGTTTTTGAAAACAATGGCTATGTAAAAAGCAGGGGGAATATTTGGCAGCTGATTTAAAACAAAGCAACTGATTTCTCAGTTCATCTTTAGGTACCATTACAGTCAAATATTCAACCATCAGAAAAAAAGAATCGTGCTTTCAAATTCACCATAATGAGGCTTGAGCATAGGACGGACATCACAATCTACAGTTTCTCTTCCACTATGTCTTCTCCTTCTATTATCCTTTTCGTGTGTGTGTGTGTGTGTGTGTGTGTGTGTGTGTGTGGCTTTGTTTTGTTTTCTTTTGGCAGTACTGGAGTTTGAACTCAGTGCCTCAAGCTTACCAGACAGGCGCTGTACTACTTGAATCACTCTGCAAACCCTGTTGTCCTTTTCTTCACATCAATTTTCCCTTGAAATTCTTCTAGCCTTCCTCACCATTTAAGTTACTCTCCTCTATATGCTTATATCCGAAAATATTTTTATCACTAAACACTGTGTGTTTCTTCCACTACACCTTAAAATCCTTGGAGGAGAGAATGATGACTTCCTCGTCTTTATTTCTCCAGGAGCTAATACAGTGCTCAATAAATACTTATAAAATGAATGAATTAGAGAATTTATGAACATTTACTGAACACCTACTGTGTGCCCAGGGATATGCAGCAACTAAAAAGATCCACCAAGTATTTATACTCATGGAACCTACAGAGGAATGAATGGATGCATGCATGAAATTAGCACTTCCATACACTTCAGCTCTATTAGAAAACCATTCTGGAAGTTCCCAGAGAATTTTTGTGTTCACTACTGAATTAGTTGCTTGGAATTCAATATATTTTTCTATAGTAATGATGTCAAGATAATATTAGAACATCAGCCACCTAAAACACTATACTAAAAAACAGTAGAAATAAATTATGTTTCAAATGCAATCATTAAGAATAAGAAAACAGGCCAGACATGGTAGTGCGTGCCTATAATTCTAGCATTCAGGTGGATGAGGCAGCGAGGTCATAAGTTCGAGGCCAGCCTAAGCTACTTGAGTTCTGAGCTTACATAGTAAAACCCTGTCTCAAAAAAAATGCATTTAATGAATTGTGAAGTCTTATGAAACACAGTTTGATAAATATTTTTAATAAAAATAATAAGGACCCAATTATTTTTGCACTGACTTTTCTTTTTCCTCTGAATCCATCATCTGTCTAAATTTTTTTTGGAGACAGGTACACTTTCCACCATGCCAGAAATTTGATTTTCTGTCATATTTTCTAGTATTTTTATTGTAATTTGTTAAATTTTAAATGGCATTGTTTTAAATCTTAATTTCATCCTTACCTAGGTAAAATACAAGATGAGATAGATTAACAGTCTGCTCTTTCATCTGAATCTGTGTAAACTGAGGTCTTTTATTGAATGTACACTTGTATTACATTTAACTATAGCACAAAATACTCAGAGAGAGTACTATTCTGTTCCATGAGGATTTTTTGTTTGTTGTTGTTCTTGTTTCTATTTTTGGTGAGACTGATGTTTGAACTCAGGGCTTTGTGATTACAAAGCAGGTGCTCTACCACTTGAGCGACATCTCCAGTCCATTTTGCTCTGGTTATTTTAGAGATAACGATCTCAGCCTCCCAAGTAGCCAGGATTACAGGTATGAGCCACGGATGCCCAACTTTTTTTTTTTTTTTTGGCAGTATGGGATTTGAACTCGGGGTCTTATGCTTGCAAGGCAGGGGCTCTGCCACTTGAAAATGCCCCCCACCCTGAGTTATTTTTCCTCTATCCAGGGTTCCTCTTTGTCTTTTATTATTGCTACTTTTGCTGTAATGATTGGCATAATGGAAACATAATTTGTTTTCATTTTGCTCATATTTAATCTAGGAGACTCTATCCAGCTCTTCCATTGGCTTAGCTTTGCCCAGTCAAGCTTCTGGGGAGAATAAAATTTAATTTTCATTAGTTTGGGTTAACGTCTAAAACCTGGCTTTATGCCACCATCTCAACCATACATTTCTGAGACTTTTCTTTGAACTACATATGCTTACAAAATCTAGTAATATGTCTTTCATATAATTATTTAAATTTCTTTGTAGTGGAAATAAATTTGTGACATCTGTGCACACTGGGGGAGAAGGGAAAGCTGGAGTGGAGATGAAGGATGGCATTTTTCTGAGGTGCTGGGGATGGAACCCAAAGCCTCGTGCATATGAAGCAAATGCTCTATCACTGAGCAACACCTCCAGTTCAGGTATTGCTTCTTAAACAAGGTCAAGCACTTCTTTAAGTGCTTTTTAATTATGAATATTTTGACAAACATCATATCAATCACCTCTCTGTCTTTCCTTTCTTCATTTACCCCATACCCCCCTTCCAAAAGCCTTCTTTATTAGCTACACAAAACATTCTTTCTAGTCAAGTGCTGTTGGCTCACACCTGTAATCCTACCTACTTGAGAGGCTGAGATTGGGAGGATCACAGTGCAAGACCAGCCCTGGTAAATAGTTCTCAAGACCCCATCTCCAAAATAACCAGAGCAAAATGAACTGGAGATGTGGCTCAAGCAGTAGACCACCTGCTTTGCAAGTGTGAATCAATGAGTCCAAACTCCAGGCTCACCAAAATACATATATATTTCCAGCTGTGTGCAGTTGCTTACATCTATAATTCTAGCTACTCAGGAGGCAGAGATCAGGAGGATCACAGTTTAAGGACAGTCTGGGCAAAAAAAGTTAGTGAGACAGAGACTGCATCTCACCTAATAAAAGCAGGGTGTGGTGGCACATGCTGACATTCCAGCTACATGGGAAGCATAAATACGAGGCTGACCTGGGCATAAACATGATACTCTATTCAAAAAATATCTAAAACATGGGCATGGCTGATGTGGTACAGCATCTGCTTCGCAAGTGCAAGGCCCTAAGTTCAAACCCTAGTACCACCACTAACTAAATAAACATAAAGCATCTTTCCACCTTTCCATTTATAAAGAAAAGGAAATACCTGAAAATTCCAGGTTTCTATACTTTCGCATTCTTTCCTCTCTTTGATGATTGTCAATTGCATTCTGAAAGAGTGATATATTGCAGTGTAAAATACCACCTCAAAATGTAGTGGCTTGAAACAATTTCTTCATTCAGGGCTCAGTATCTCACCTGGGCTGTATGAAATACAGCAAGGGCACCTCAAAGGCTAAGAGCCCAAATCACAGAAAGGTCTCAGGTGATGCTGGTTATCGGCAGGGACCTCAGTGGCCCCTCTACCAGAACACCCACATGTGAGTTCCTATATGACTGTTTAGCTCCCTCACAGCAGGTGCTGGGGGTCCAACACACAAGACTAAAGGCCTCCTGTTTCTGGAGTCCTGGACCTGGACACAAATCTGTGAATTCTGCATATTCTATCTGTCAAAGAGTCATGAGGCCCAGTTCAAGGGGAGAGCGCCTGATCTTATCCCTCCATGGGAGGCTTGTCAAAGAATTTTAGGATCACATTTAAAGTCCACACGTTTTCTGAAGTCTATCACCTTGACTTTTCACTATACTACTCCTGCATTAATACAAAAGTGCCATTGTCAATTTCCTTCCATGAGTAACCTACCTAGATCTATGTGACTCATGGCAACT